CAAACTAGAAGGAAGAAAATATCTATGATAAATACTACATCATCCTAATAGCAAGCCTGGTGAGATCAAGTCCACTTCAACCAAATCAGCTCCATAAAAAAGAGATACTCCAATCTACCTTGCCTCATTCAAGGAGACTTCAATTGTCAAATCCCCTTTTGGTCACCACCTGGATGTACAAGCTCTCACCAGAGAGTCATGACCAAGACAAATTTAATCAATGAATTTATCTCGAGCAATAATTTCATCCTACCATACACACCAAAGCCTGAAGAATACACTCTTGCCCATTCCAGTGGACAGAAAACCTTCATAGATGCACTGCTAATCTCTGGAGAGCTAGAAGCAGAAGTCCGGATCATAACAGCCATCAGTGATCACTCTACCTTCAATGCTTCTCTCACCTTAAAGAAATCTACACCTGTTGCTCCTGTATTGATTGATTCCACTCCAAAGGTGCTTGACAAAACAGTATACATCCCAAAATTAAATGAATATCTCAAGAATATCGAATTAAAACCTGAAATCAAACCAATAGACATTGATGTCATCACCCTTAACATCTTTAAAAAGATGCTTGAGCTTCAACTCTGCTGCCTTAAAATTCCCAGAAAATTGAACATCAAACACAAAATATTCAAACCATGCTTGATGAAAGAATTGAAGAAATCCATCAGAAAATACAAGATGGCAAAGAGTTGTAAGAACCAAATGGAGCTGTGTACAGTCAAGAAAGACACTATCAAAAAGATATCTAAGAACCTTAATGAACAATTTCTCATCAAAGACAGCAGAATACTATGGAGAAGAATCAAGAATCTAATACAGCTTGATCTTCAACCTGAGACGACTAGTGCCTTCAAAGACAACGTGGAAATATGCAAGAAAGAATTCAATCTTGGACTAGAGGACATTAAAGTCCCAGATAATCAACAAAACTGCTTCAAGCTGATGAACAAAGAGGAACTTGAACCACATCGCCAGATAATCCTGAAGTGTATGAAAGATCTAGATAAGACCAGTCCAGGTCCTGATAACCTAACATTAGGTGAAACGATAGCAGTATTCAATGAGAATTCCACTCTAATCACCAATCTCATCCAAGCCTGTATTGAACTGGGCTTTGTCCCTGCTGCTTGGAAGATTACTAAGGTAGTGATCATTCCAAAAAGTGACGGAACAAGAACCAGGACGATACAGATGCAATCCTTTTTGATTAAAACCTTTGAGAAATTAATCTATAATAAGATAATAGAATCAATACCGATTGAAACCTTCAGATATCAGCATGCCTATCTACCATCTAAGAGTATAGTTACAGCACTTGACAATCTTCTTGTTGATAACTTTTCACAAACTAGATCAAGCCAATGTCACAAGTTTATATTTCAGACGGATATTCAGAAAGCCTTTGATGAAATCCATCCAGAAGCAATCCTGACTAACTGCTTGAAATATAAAATCTCAATGAAGACAATCAGAATCATAATGAGTTATCTAACAAACAGACATTGTATGATAATAGATGACTGTCCGAAATTGAAGAAGCTGGGAAAAGGAGTCCCCCAAGGGTCAATTCTTGGACCAGTTCTCTTCATCATTGGTATTAATGAAGCCCTCAATAGTATAGCAGAATTTAAACTTCCCCCACTGAAGATACAATACCAGAACTCAGACACCCAAATAGCGCAATACAATTCAATCACTAACTTTAGACTAATTACATACGCTGATGACATCCTGATTGCCTTTAAATCCACACTCAAAACTGACCTCCAACTTATCCATGTAATCAGAAGTATCTTGGACTGTATCAATAATGCACTAAAGGTCTCAAGACTTTGTGTAGCAATTGAGAAGACCAAGATACTGACCAATAACACCAATCTTATAAAACAATGGAAAGGTAGTATCCCCCTTGAAAGAAAAGCAGAAATATTAGGTTTACCAATAGATATACATAATAATCCAAAGATCTTTGTTGATACTGATCAACTAATTGAAAAAATTAAGCAAAAACACCTAAAGTTAAACATCCCAATAAAATTAGTTAGAACTCTTCCTAGTAAGATAGTCAAACTCATCAGCTCTGCCTTCTTTGAAGCAAAAATCATGACATATGCTCCCCTCTTACTTCCTGCCATCCATGAGGAAACCTTTGCTAAGAAATTAACAAAGCTAACTTACTCCTTAATAAATTCTTTCATTGGCCTCAAACCCTATGAATCGACACTACCATCATATCTGATCACAGGAATAACTCCTCTTCATAGTAAGATAATAAAAACTGGACTGGTCTATCTATCTAGAGTCACTGATGGAGAATCAGTAATCCTCTCATGGGTAATAACCAGAAAACCTGAACTACTTCAACGTCCTGGACTAAGCAATGAATATCTCACTTGGCCTAAGAAATATGTCTCTGAGGAGATAAACAGTAGACTTGACAATAAGAAATACTCTACCCTGAGTGTAAATCTGCTTCTCAAAGGACTGACCAGAACAGGATTTGATAAACTAAATACCTGCTCTAGAGTTATTACTGGTCATTACAACTGGCTATCCAAAGACAGCAAATGCATCTGTGGTGAAAATGGACCTGATAACATCCACCTACTCTTCCATTGCCCGGCTCGACAACCTGAAAGGGAGTATTACAACAACAAAGCAGTGGATATGAAGACAAGCCTTAAGGAACTATTGATAAAATGGCCACAACTATGTCGAAAATTTCTAATAGAAACACATCAAACAATGTCCTTTCTTCATGAACGAACTACTGAAAACTTACATTAGACCTAACTCCCCTTAATCACCCTTTACCTTATTTCCCTTTATTTATTTTCATCTCTTCAGTCTTAAATTTGTCTCTTAGTACTATTAATCTTTTTTGATAATATCAAATTACCCTCCTTTATTCGCAGTTGCTCCTTGTTGTTCTATAGAGAACGAAAAACATGTAAAAAATCAATATAACCTGTATCAACCAGCATTTTTAGGTGCAGCGCCCTCTAAGCTCACCCGAAAAAGATGTACAACTCTCTCTTTTACAATAAAGTTTGACAGCTAAACTCGAGGAGATTGAGCCAGTCAATGAAACAGCATCCTAATAGTGCTGTTGTGGTGAGAGAAGAGAGTGAGAAAGAGAAAGAAAGAGAAAATCTAAGTGTTTGCCAGTAACAATTACAATTTTGCTCAGCATCTTCACCATCATCTTCATCACCTTCATCCTCATCAACATATACCTTCATCACCATCTCACCAGCTTCTAATATCACAAACAGCACAACAGAAGTACAGTACATCACAGCATAATAAACAACATCAACAACCAACAACAACATCAACAATCAACCTTAAAACCAACGACTAACATCACACTCAATATCAACACCAAAAGACCACCGACACGATCAAGTACCTTTAGTTGATAACAAGTATCCAACGGTTAAACACAATCTTATAAACAGTTTTACAAATATCAGATGCCAGGAAGAAACAGATCGACCTAAACGATCAGAAAGTAAGTTTATTTTGTCGTGT